TGATGCTAAGCTTGGCCAGGTGACTCACTCTGGCCAAAAAATGTTAAACGGCAGCAATGTTTGTCACTTCTGACCAAAGCTTTATGAGCTAACTTTTGTCTCAGCACTCTCTCTGTGTCCCTCTGCCACTCCAACTGGCAATGCATCAGATGGAGGCTGCTTTGTCAGCCAGGGTCCTGGACAGAAATGACGTGGACGAGAGCTACAGCTGAGCCACAATGGATGTGTCCTGAGAACAAGAAACAAGCCTTTGTGGTTGTAAGGAGAGTTGCCAGATTTAGCAAACAAAAATAGAGCACGCTCAGTCAGATTTGAATTTCAGATAAACTGTGAAAAATTTTTCGGTAAAGAAGTATGCCCCAAATGGTGCATGGGACAGGCCTATACTAAATATTTGGGACGTTCTTATACTAAAAAAAAGTCTTGCTGTTTATCTGAAATTCAAATTTAACTGAATGTCCTGTGTTTTATTTGGCAAGCCTACTTGTAAGGCACTCAGATGTGGGAATCTTTTCTTTTCCATAACCCTGGCCGTATTTGATTGATAAAACAGCGGGTCAGGGCTCAAGGAGGGGTACCTGTGCCAATCTGTATATTAAATATTGTTGTTGTCATTAGCTGCTGTCAAGTCAGCCCCCATCTCATGGCAACCCCATGTATAATGAGATCAGACCATGTGACCCATAGAGCTTTCACTGGCTGATTTTCAGAAGCAGATCTCCAGGCCTTTCTTCCTAGTCTGTCTGAGTCTGGAAGCTCTGCTAAACCCTGTTCAGCATGATAGCAACACACAGCCTCCACTGACAGAAGGGTGATGGCTGCACACGAAATCCACTGGGCAACGATCAAACCCAGGTCTCCCAGACGGAAGGTGAGAATTCTACCACTGAACCATCAAGCTATCACTATATTAAATATTAGTAAAGCTTAAGTTTGGCCGTCTCAGGTTTTAAAAGTTACAGTTCTTCCTGCACGCCAGTCGACTGTCTTTGGAGACCAGAGTCCTAAGGTGTGCGCTATAGGCAAAGGTTGTCAGAAAGTAGTAATTTCGTTAAAAATGCAGATTTGTTGGCACTACCCCAGATGGCTGGTTGTTAATGAGTCTCCCTCCAATCCTGACGCCACTTTCTTCTTCATATAGTCCAGTTTCTCGGATTATTTGCTCAGCATACAGATTGAATAAATATGGTGAAAGGAAACCACCCTGATGCACACCTTTCCTGTCTTTAAACCGCACAGCATCTCCTTATTCTGTCTGAGTGACTGCTTCTTGATCTTATGTACAGGTTCCTCATGAGCACAATTAAGTGTTCTGGAATTCCCGTTCTTCACAATGTTATCCATAATTTGTTATGATCCACACAGTCGAATGCCTTTGCGTAGTCAGTAAAACACAGGTAAACATCTTTCTAGTATTCTCTGCTTTCAGCCAAGATCCATCTGACATCAGCAATGATATCCCTCGTTCCATGTCCTCTTCTGAATCCAGCTTGAACTTACAGCAGTTCCCGGTCGATGTACTGCTATAACCACTTCTGAATGATCTTCAGCAAAATTTTACCGATTTTAACGATATTGTTCGATAATTTCCTCATTCTGTTGTATCACCTTTCTTTGGAATGGGCACAAATATGTATCTCTTCTAGCCAGCTGGCCAGGTAGCTGTCTTCTAAATTTCTTGGCATAGACAAGTGAATACCTCCAGAGCTGCACCTGTTTGTTGAAACATCTCAATTGGTATTCCGTCAATTCCCTGTTTTTCGCGAGTGCCTTCAGTGCAGCTTGGACATCTTCCTTCAATACCATCGCTTCTTGATCATATGCTACCTCCTGAAATGGCTGAACATCGACCAATTATTTTTGGGACAGTGACTCTGTGTATTCCTTCTATCTTCTTTTGATGCTTCCTGCATAGTTCAACATTTTGCCCATAGAATCCTTCAATGTAGCAACTCGAGGCTTGAATTTTTTCTTCAGTGCTTTCAGCTTGAGAAATGCCGAGCGTGTTTTTCCAACTTCAGGTCTTTGCACATTTCATTATACTACTTTACTTCCTCTACTGACATCTTTCGTTCAGCTCTTTCACTTCATCATTTCTTCCATTCACTTTAGGTGCTCTACATTTAAGAGCAAGTTTCAGAGTCTCTTCTGACATCCATTTTGGTCTTCTCTTTCTTTCTTGACTTTTTAATGACTTTTACTTTCTTCATGTATGATATCCTTGATGTCATCTCACAACTCGTCTGGTCTTTGGTCATTAGTGTTCAATGAGTCAAATCTATTCTTGTGACGGTCTCTAAATTCAGGTGGGATATACTCAAGGTTGCATTTTGGCTCTCGTGGACTTGTTTTAATTTTCTTCAGCTTCAACTTGAACTTGCATATGACCAATTGATGGTCTATTCCACAGTCAGCGCCTGGCCTTATTCTGACTGACGATATCAAGCTTCTGCATCATGTCTTCCACAGATGTAGAGTATTTGATTCCTGTGTTTTCGATCCGGCAAAGTCCACCTGTATAGTCGCCATTTATGTTGTTGAAAAAGGTTTTTCCAGGATTGGAGGAACACTCATTAACAACCTGTGATATGCAGATGACACAACCTTGCTTGTGGAAAGTGAAGAGGACTTGAAGCACTTACTGCTGAAGATCAAAGACCACAGCCTTCGCTATGGGTTACAACTCAAATTAGGGGGAAAAAAATCCTCACAACTGGACCAATAAGCAACATTATGATAAACGGAGAAAAGACTGAAATGGTCAAGGATTTCATCTTTTTTGGATTCACAATCAACACCCATGGAAGCAGCAGTTAAGAAATCAAAAGACGTATTGCATTGGGCAAATAAGCTGCAAAAGACTCCTTAAAAGTGTCAAAAAGCAAAGATCGCACTTTGAGGACTAAGGTGCGCCTGACCCAAGCCATGGTATTTTCAATTACCTCATATGCAAGTGAAGGCTGGACAATGAATAAGGAAGACGAAAAATTGATGCCTTTGAATTGTGGTGCTGGGGAAGAATATTGAATATACCGTGAACTGCCAGAAGAAGGAACAAATCTGTCTTGGAAGAAGTACAGCCAGAATGCTGCTTAGAAGCAAAGATGGCAAGACCTCGTCACACGTACTTTGGACATGTTATCAAGAGAGACCAGTCCCTGTAGAAGGATATCATGCTTGGTAGAGGTTTAGCGAAAGAGAGGAAGACCCTCAAGTAGATCAATTCACACAGCAGCTACAACAATTGGCACAAGCATAGCAACGATTGTGAGGATGGCGCAGGACCAGGCAGTGTTTCGTTCTGTTGTACACAGGGTCACTATGAGTCAGAATTCACTCAACAGCACCTAACAACAACACCACCACCCCCAAGATGGGGAGCACTGGTGGCATAAACGGTTAAGAGCTATGTGGCTAACCCAAATGTTGGCGGTTTGAACCCACTCAGCTGCTCCGTGGGAGAAAGACCTGGTGATCTGCTTCTATAAAGATTACAGCCAAGAAAACCCTATGGGGCAGTTCTACTCTGTCACGTGGGTCTCTACAAGTTGAAAACAAACTGACAGCAGCCAACAAAAATATCCACACCAGATGGACTGATCAGAATCTGGAGGTGGCTGGAGAATCCACTCTTTAAACAAGTTCCTCAGGTCGTTCTGAAACAAGTTAAAGCTCCACTGGACTACATCTGTAATTTAATTTTTTAGTAGGCTGTCTGGTATACTGGAGTCCCTGGGTGGTGCAAACAGTTAGCACATTCGGCTGCTAAAACAAAAGGTTGGAGGTTCAAGTCCACCCAGAGGTGCCTTGGAAGAAAGGCCTGGTGATCTGCTTCCAAAAAAATCAGCCATTGAAAACCCTATGGAGCACAGTTGTACTCTGACACACGTGGAGTTGCCATGAGTCAAAGTTGACTCAACAGCAACTTGTTTACCTGGCGCTAGGAAGGGAGTAGGCGAGCTGCATACCAGTCCTGCCTTTGCTACCCCTTTGTATCATGTTGAACAAGTCAATTCTCCTTCTGGACTGCTTTGCTCTCATCTAAAGAAGGAAGAAGTTGGACCAGATAATCTCAAATATTATTCCAATTCTAAAAGCCCAGGACCAGGGGTCAGAAACTCAGGGCGTTGCAAGGCCTTGTGGTTAAGCGGTTAGGTGCCGTGGAGTCGGTTGTGACTCATAGTGACCCCACGTACAACTGAAGGAAACACCGCCCCGTCCTGTGCCATCCTCACAATCGTTGTTATGCTTGAGCCTATTGTTGCAGCCACTGTGTCAATCCATCTCATGGAGGGTCTTCCTCTTTTTTGCTGACCCTCTACTTTACCAAGCCCGATGTCCTTCTCCAGGGACTGGTCCCTCCTGATAACATGTCCAAAGTACGTGAGACAAGTCTTGCCATCCTCTTAGGTAATGTAAATGAGTGAGGCTGGCGGGTGTAAGACACTAGGCCATGGACGGGACTGTGGCAAATTGAAAGGTACACGCCCCATTCTCAACATTCCTTGAGCGTCCCCTCTCTGCCGGCTGACCTCCTTACTACCTAAATCACTGGAGTCCCTGCCCTGTGTGTGGCCCCAGGAAATCCTGTCCCTCCTCTGTTTCCCCTCCAGCAGGAGTTCTTGTGGCGTAGCGCCACATCCATCACCAAACTCCCGCACCTTTCAAAACCTGTTCAGGAGCCACCTTGTTTCAGCGCCGCTTGTCCCACAAGCCCTGCCGCCTCGGTGTCAGCTCGGCTCCTGCACCTAGGACGCCGGGATTGTGATGCAAGGAGAGGACGCCGAGTCAGGGACCGCGGGGTGCGTTTCGATTGCCCCTCACTTGGGTGCGCCTTTCCTTCCTGGAAAGAGGCCCTTAAGGCTGGGAGGGAGGAGTTCTGAAACTTTATTAATCGGTAGGTAGGGAGCGATGACGCCCTCCACGCCGACTTACCCCCCAAGTCCACTTCCCAACGACTATTTGCCAACAAAGGCCAGCGGTGTGCCGGGGGTGGAGCTTGGGAGTCAGATACCGCGAGAACTGGTGTCCCAAAGAGGCTCTGACAAGCGCAGGCGCACTACGACGCTTCCCCCCGCCCCGCATCGCGGCAGCGAAGGTGGCACCCGCAGGGAGAGGTGGGGCGGGCCTCTGGAACAAAGCTCGCGAGATTTAATCGTGTCACAGCTACTCCTTGCCGTCAGGGACCGGAAGTGCAGAGGGTGGGACGTCTTTGGCGCTTGCTCCACTGAGGTTGCTGCGCCGCCGGGCCCGGGTTCCTGGTCGCGGCTACCCTGGGCCGAAGTGATGGGGGACCTCAAGGAGGCCGAGGCCGAGGCTCCGCCGGCCGGGGCCGCTGCTCGGGGAAGGCTCAGCCTTCTGCCGCAGGGAGAGCCCGAGGAATCTTCTGCACAGGTGAGTGCGCCGCGGGGCGGAGCCAGCCAGGTGCCCGGAGCTGCGGGCCCGCACCGCCGGGCAGCGATGTCACGGTTCCCGGCAGCTTCTGGCACCTGCTCCACGCCTTCCTGGCAACCCCAAGATAGGGAGTGGAAGCCCGTGTGCGGGTCGTCAGGGATTCAGGGATTTACTTGCAAGTCATCCGTATCAAAAGCAGTCCTGGCTTTGGTTAGACTCGATCTCGGATCGCAGGGAGTGTACGTGTCAACCTGCAGCTCCAAAACAGGGCCCAGTCGTGCAAACCTGGAGGCAGGACAGTATGTCCGCGAGGGCCTCGCCGAGAGCGTGACTGTGAGCTCGTTCTTGAAGGGTGCAAAGTGTTTGCCAGGCCGCAGAGGGACAGCGTTCGAGAAGGTTAGATAGTGACCCAGACCCCGAGCTTGCTTGGGGGTGTGCAGATGAAGACTGTGAGGAACCCTGTGTGCCTTGCTGTGAATTTAAGAGGTTCAGAGTATCTTTTTTTTTTTTTTTATTATTGTACTTCAGGTGAAGGCTTACAGAACAAATAGTTTCTTATGAAACAGTAGTACACATATTGTTTTATGACATTGGTTAACAACCCCACAATATGTCAACCCTCTAACTTCTCAACCTTAGAGACCTTTTTTTTGGTGAAAATACACATAGCCAAAGATATACCATTTCCAAAGTTTCTACATACACAGTTCAGTGACATTGACTACGCTCTTCCAGTTGTGCTGTTATTCTCACTTAAGATGAAGGCTTACAGAACAAAATAGTTTCTCATTTAACAGTTACTACAAATGTTGCCCTATGACAATGGTTAACAATCTCACAACACATCAACAATATCCTTACTCAACCTTAGGTTCCCTATCACCAGCTTCCTTGTCCCCTTCTGCCTTCTGGCCCTTGTCACTGGACTCCTGTACCTCGTTAGTCTCATTTGGTTTTATGGGGCTGTCCACTCCCAGGCTGAACGGTGAACAAGAGGTTCAGAGTATCTTGTCTGATGAACCGACGAGTCAATTACTGAACGTTTCCTTTAAAAAAAAGAAAACAAAAAAAAAGCCCCAGATAACTGACCACAAGCTATTTTTTAAATGTCTGTGTTATTGAAATCAAAATACCTCTTCTTTAATACTAAACCAGAAAACCAAACCTATCGCCGTTCGCTGTCCTTGAGTTCCAGAGCCGTGGTAGCACAGTGGTTGAGAGCTCAGCTGCTAATCAAAAGATCAACAGTTCAAATCCACCAGCCACTCCTTGGAAACCCAATGGGGCAGTTCTGCCCTGTCCTATAGGGTCACTGTGAGTCGGAACTGACTTGGCAGCACCTAACAACAACATTGCCATCCAGTGGATTCTAAGTCATGGTGACCCCAAGGTCCCTGGGTGGCTCAAGCAGTTTGCCATGGTCTGGCAACCTAGTTTGAACCCATCCAGCCACTACTCAGAAGAAAGGACTGGTGAACTGCTTCCCTAGAGATTGTAACCTAGAAAACCTATGGAGCAGTTCTACTCTACCCTGTAACACTTGGGGCCTCCATGAGTCTTTAATACGAAACAGGCTTTATTCAATTTAGTGTTTAGGTAGCATGATACTGTTAACTCCCCTTGTTTCTCCATCAGTGTGAATACATTTAAAAAATAGAGTGGTTGGCCTCCTTCCTAGCCAATAACCACAGCTGTTGTACTTGACTATCTTCTTTCTTTGAAATTATGTGGGGGAAAAAAGCTAAATAAATGTGACATCTTCTGCTTCCCACATGTTTATTAGTAATATGTGGCATACTTCCTTACTAAGCCTGATGCGGGTGTTTGTGTGTGCGTAAAGGTGGGGTTTTAATTCCAATTAATGCTCATTGAAGTTTCATTCGATACGCTAATTAGGGATCGGCTGTATTCCTTGGAGGCAATGAAGTGAAGAGCCGAGCCGTGGTGAAATACTCGTCCGCACCTGCTCGCACAGCGTTTGCCCGCCTCCAAGAGAAAACAGACTTGAAGCTCCCACCTGCCAACTGGTTACGGGAGAGTGCCAAACTTGGGCCAGCAGGAACTACCATTCTTGGCAATAGTAAGAGAAGCAAGCCGTTTTCAAGGTAAATGTTAAGTAAATATTAATTGAAGGCATTTTTACCTGCCCTTCTGTCCTCCTCAAAACTTTAATTTGTAATGCTCATCAACTTGCCAAAATTTCTCTTTAGAAAAAGATCTGATATGACTTTCAAAGTCCTTTTTTCCTCCCGTATTAAAATTATAATGTGAAGATTTTGATTGTATATGCTGTCTTCTTTCCAGTCTACATCATGTTATTAACAAAGCTGAGTTTTGATCACTAAAATTCCATCAGCCATATAATTTTTAACCAATTTGCGTGCCTTTTGAGTATTTAAATACAAAGAATCAGGGTGATGCCTGAGGAGGAAGACCTTTAACAACACCCGATGTGTCCTGTGGAGTTTTTCATTAAACGAGGGTGGAGTGTCTGGTCTGAGAAAGCCTGCTGTAGGAAACCCAGCGTGTTGGGTATTTAAAGTTGAGAGAGTGGCCTGAGGTCCTAGAGGAAGAAAAGAACCTGAAAGTGACTCCCTGCCACTTACTGGCTGAAGATGGTGACGACGTGTACCTTCCAGGCTGGTAGACTATAGATGTGCCTCACAAGGTACCTGACAGAAGTCTGCTGCTCTTTGCTCCTTCTGGCCAAATTGGTGTCATACATTTTTTTAAAAAAAGAATTGTACCTCACTGGGGACACAGTCCCCAAAACTAAAATCCTGACACCTTTTTCTGGTTTTATTTTTCTTGTCTCCCCGCCTGAAAAGAATAAAATCTTGAACTGGCTGTTTTCTCTTGGAGATTTTTGGGTCTAGTGATTACAAAAATAAAAATAGTGATTAAGTGATTTTATGCTAATTGTTTCTTAACTAATTGCTTCTAATGATCATGGCTGTATTTCATCAAATCTAAGATGTCATTGATTTTAAGACACATGATTATTTTTGTGCCACTAAGAAGGAGAAGCCAGCCAGCTGTAGTGGTGCTATGCTTCTTGATTTTCAAGATGTTAAAGTGTGGGGAATGTGTATCCTGGAAGCAATGAAATGCAGTACTCTATTTTTAAACTCTCCTGGCATCATTCTGAGCGTGCCCTTTTAACCCGTGGCCCTTTTCCCTTTGTTAGTTTTGGTATGGCGTACGACTTTATTGATTCGGTGGGAAATGACGTGGATGTTGTCTCTGACTCTGAAGTAAGTGTCACTTACTGCTTAATGCAGTTCTGGGCGTGTTCTGTGCTAGGTGTTTTCTGTCCTGCTCTGTTTTGTCTTAACTGTTAGTCTAAGAGATGGATGATTAAATAAGATAAAACTATCTCATTGTTGAACACATTTTTGGTTATTAAAGTAGCATTCTTTACTACATCTCTTTTCTTTAAAGAGGAGGATACAAACCCCAAAACACTGGCAGTGGTAATAATATTAATATTCATATTCTAATAATCGTAATTAAAACTGATGATAACGTTTGGGATTGTCCTGTATCTGCTACCTGTTGAGAATTAGAAATGATGATTCTAGTAAAGTCTGCCAACTGTAGCTGGCCAGGTGTATCTGATCTGCTGAAAGTCCAGGTCGTCGCAACAGTGTGACCTATACCTGCTTGACTTTGAGAAATTCTGTCGTATAAAAATAAACATTTGACCGTCATGTACATTGACGTAGTATTATTCATAACATGTAGGTATTTCTGGCTTTAAAGCCCTGTCTTCCGTGTGTTTGCGTGTAGCTCTTTGTGTGAAGTACCGTGTTTGTAACCTTAAGGAAGTAAGCCTTATTACGCATTTAAATTGAATAAAGTTTGAAAGATCTGAAATCATAATGAAAAGGTCTTTCTAAACTATTTTTCCTTCTAATTTTTTTCAGAACATTAAAAAGCTCCTGAAGATTCCATACAGCAAGTCCCACGTGAGCATGGCAGTGCACCGCATAGGAAGGACGCTCTTGCTGGACGAGCTCGACATCCAAGAGCTGTTCATGAGGTCCTCACAGGTAACACTGGGAAACGACCACAGGCCTGTTGTTCTAACTGCTTCAGACCACTGGAAACACGAGCTTGTTTCAGAGAAAGGCCAAAGTGGAAAAATAGTAGAGTGCTTCAGCAATCAAGGAATGAAAAGTTTCACTAAAGATAAAGCTTTAAAATAAAAAAAAACAGGAGAGAGAAAGAGAGAATGGGGAAGAAAATTACTTTATGGACACCAACAGCCAGGATTCTTACAAGGGAAAGAAAGAAACCACTGAAGAAAGTTGAGAGAAATCTATAGACGTTGAAGGGATTAGCTTCAATTTTGAAAAATCCTTTGATGTCTCCATTAGAAAGATTCATGAAACATGGCTCCCAGGAAATGGGAAAAACGTGAAGTTATTCCCGTGACTGCATAGTTAATCAGAATGAGTTGATTCTCTCAAAGCAAGGCTTCTCAAACTCCATGCTGGTGAAGGACTCCCATGTGTTAACGATTGATACTTCTGTAAACACGCTAGCTGTGCTGCAGTGATGTAAAGTTCCTCAAGGCTTGTGTGCCACCCTGTCACGGACCCTACCATTGCATAGGCCACTCTGTAAAGAATATTCCTGCAATGCTTTGATGAAGGAAAACAAGTTCCAGTTATTTAAATTGATACTTGAGATAAATGCTTTCCCCTTTGCAAAGACCAGGGCTCAGTTCAGTGTATACGCACGTGCAAGGCACCATGCAGGTCTTGGGATGTGATAGTGAAAACTCCACAGTCCTTGCTTAGTAGCTTTGGGTCTACAAACATGCCCGGATCGTTTCAATACTCTGCATAGTGGGGCTTACCCCAGGTGCGAGAGAAAACATGGAGAGCTTGGCTTAGGGCAAGGAAGAGGGCAGGGAAGTTTCTCACAAAAGGTGATATAAAGTGAAGCTAGAATGTTGAGTATGTCCTTATGGAACAGTGTTCAAAAAAATACAGAGTGTTTCCAGTAGCAGAGTAGTTGACGACAGATTGTTTGACTACATGCTTGCGGTATTTATTTAATAATTTCTTACGTTATTCAGACTGGAGATTGGACATGGTTGAAAGAATTTTATCAAAGACTTATTGACCAGAAGTGGCAGAGAAAGAAGAAGAGCAAGGAGCACTGGTATCAGAAGGCTATCCTTTCCAAGTTTTTATATTACAGGTACTTCGCAACTTGTTTACTTTTATCTCAGAGTTAAGAGGAGAAATGAAATTCTGCTCTAAAATTTAATTTGGAACTTGTAAAGGAAATAATCTAAGTTTTGCCACTGTGACATTGTTAACCTTCTCTTATATTGCTTTTGTACAAGATGTATGTTTAATTACAGAATCTAGTTTTTAAAAACCGGTAGACTGTTACATAAAACTAATTTTAGCAACAGTTTGATGAGTCTTATTTCTGATTGGCTAGTATCAGTGGTGATGGAGCTGCTCAGCCCGTCCCCTCTGCAGCAGACCAACAGGGATCGTCCAGTCCAGCTCAGACAACTGATTCAGAAAGGGCTTCGTGGCCCGCCCCTTTTGAAGTACCTTCTTCCGTTTCAGAAGATCCCAGTGCTTCTAATCAGGTCAGTTAGTACTTAAGTGCCAATTCAGCGGTAAGACCAATTGTCTTGTTAATAAAAATAGATGAGCAGGAGGAAGAATAGCCTATTAATTTACTTCTAAATGGGGTGGGGGAGTACTTTATTTAGTTTTCCAAAATAGAATTTATAAGAACTGTTAAATGAATAAATGAATAGCTACGTCATTTTTTTTTTGATTAAATAATTCAGAATATTTTCAAGTTTTCACTACCATTTTAAATAGCTTACAAGTGTATTTATCAATACTGATTATCTCCCTAAAAGTATTATAATATGTAATATAGCTAGCAGTATAGTGTATTTTTAATTATATGTAGTAAATCCAAACCAAACCCACTGCCTGCAAGTCGATTTCAACTCATAGTGACCCTGTAGGACAGAGCAGGACTGCCCCACAGGACAGAGCAGAACTGCCCCACAGAGCTTCCAAGGCTGTGAAACTTTACAGGAGCAGACGGCCACATCTTCCTCCTGTGAAGTAGCTGGTAGGTTCAAACTGCTGACCTTTAAGTTTGCAGCCGAGCGCTTAACCAGTGTACCGCCAGGATTCCTTTATATGTAGTGAGTACCTATCAAATATTAAGAATTGCAGGTCTGTTCATAACTTAAATACTGACTTTCTTACCTTAACTCTTAGATAGTTAGATCTAAAATAGCCCTTAAGGTTTTCTGGATGAAGTTCTTGAATCCTTAACCTGTGTTCGTGTTATAAAACCTATAGAAAGGAAGAGAGAGTAGAATGTTGTCTATTCTGTCTCTTGTATTCTTGGTTTCTTCTTATTTCTTGTTTGTTTATTTTCGTCCTTACAGTGTCTATCAAATAATAAAATAACTCTGTAGATGTAAGTTGTGATGTGTCTTTTTTCAGGAAAATATATCGATAACTTGAAGAAGATAAAATAAGATCTTTAACTTGGTGAACTGTGTTTTTTCCTCTTGTTATATGTTTACACATATTGCACACTATTTTGCCAGATCATTTCTACCTTCACAAAGTATAGGGTTCCAGGAAGCAAGTACATTTAAGTTCATTTTACTATTAGTAGGTTTTAAGATGGAGAAACGGTCTCCTAAAACTATGTAATGCATATACATTTCTTCCAAAGGTGGGGAAACGAAGGAAAAGAAAGAAGTCCTTGTAGTGGTAACCACGGCGGGTGGGGAGGTGTGTGATTGAGAAGGTGGGTGCTGGGCTGTCGGCAGTGTTTCACCTCCTGACTTTAGTAATGGTACATGGGTGGTTGGCTTGGTAATTGGTCATCGTATTTTATTTTGTTTCGTCTACTTTCCTATATGTGATTATATTTCACTAAAGGAGTTTTAGAAGTGCTTTTAGTGTTTCTTGACTTCAACACCCACACCTTACAAAAAGGGCCACACAGTACTCCTCCCCTCTTCCCCATCTCACCCATCGCCCGGTCTTATCTATCCTCGCCACTTGTTTAAGGGTTGTTGAGAAAAATCCTGGAGGCGTTTGAGGATTTGTAAACTTGCACGTGGAGGAAGCAAACTGGCATTATTAACATCTCTTAGGCCAGGTACTTTGAAATACGTGTGAACGTAATTTTTTTTTCATCCTTGGAGCTGCCATATCTAGTTAAGTATGAATGATACCGTTTTACAGATCAGCTAAAGCTCCTAAAAGCAGATGCTTGTCCATGGCTTCATAGCTGGTGAAGTCTGAGCGAGGGTTTCAGCTCGGCTCCTTCTGCATGCAGACCTGTTCTTACAGCAGCACTATACTCTGCGCGTCCTCCAAACATGTTTAGGAGGACCTTGTACTCAGTCGGATTGTCTCAGAGCTAGGCTGACATAAAATGAGTCTTTCATGGGATAGTTATCTTATAATACTGCCTAGTACAACATTTAGTGATCTATTTTTTTTTTTTCCCTAAGCTGTCACCTCATGAATACTTGTTCCCAGAGCTAAACTGTTAGATGCCTGTATTTAAGCAGTGATAGAGGTTAAATAGGTACTTGTGATGTGGCCTTGAAGCCAAACCTTTATGGAGAACATCGAGACCTTTGAAACCTAGAACTCAAATCCAACAAAAGCAACTACCTGGTAAATATAATTTTGGGACTTGGTACATAGGTTGACAACTTGTCTGTATAAACAAATAGTAAAAAAGGAGTGTGAAGTTCTGTTATTTGAACTTCTTACGGAGAAGGCAAGACACATCAAAAGTGGGAGATATCGTCCCTGTGCCGCAGTTGCACACGCTTACCTGTGCAGGCAGGTGCTGAGCCTATCGGCGTACACGTGGAATAAGCAGCACACAGGTGCCTGCCCGTGTTGGGGTCTGCCGGGCACTGACATTAAAGGTTTAAAGTAGTGTTGCTGTTTAGCCACCATAGAAATTGTGATATCACTTAACAGCAGTTGTCCTAATGTTTGGAAAATTGAATGGTAGTTTACCCAGTGTCGGACATCCCCCTTCCCAGGTGCTTTCCAACGTGTATTCCACAGAATGTATTAAGAACAGAAAGTGTCCTGAGATGAAGTAAGATTAGGAAACACCAGATTATACAGAGGTAAAGTAGATTTTTCTACTGTAGGACCTCTTAGAGTCGTTTTTAATGCTAAAAAACATTGCTGCTCCCCAACAGGGACCATATAGTAAGCAGCAGTTTTCAAACTTGACTCTGGGAAGTTTTCATTTAGTATCCCAGGGACTGGTATCATGTGAAACGCACATTGTTGTTAGGTACTGTCAGCGCGGTTCCAAACTCATAGCGACCCCGTGTACAACAGAATGAAACACTGCCCGGTCCCGCACTATCCTCACAGACGTTGCTGTTTGAGTCCATTGTTGCAGCCACTGTATCAGTCCATCTCTTTGAGGCACTTCGTCTTTTTTGCTAACCGTCTACCTTACCAAGCATGATGTCCTTCTCCAGGGACTGGTCCCTCCTGATAATATGTCTAAAATATATGAGACTAAGTCTTGACATCCTTGCTTCTAAGGAGCATTCTGGCTATACTTCTAAGACAGATTTGTTCATTCTTTTGGCAGTCCGTGGTATATTCAGTATTCTTCGCCAACACCATAATTCAAATGTATCAATTCTTTGCTCTTTCTTATTCATTGTTCGTCTTTCACATGCATATGAGGTGACTGAAAATACCATGACTTGCTTCAGACGCACCTTAGTCTTCAAATGACATCTTTGCTTTTCAATACTTCAGAGGCGTCTTTTGCAGCCGATTTGCCCAATGCAATACGTCATTTGATTTCTTGACCGTTGTTTCCATGGGCATTGATTATGGATCCAAGTAAAATGAAATCCTCGACAGCTTTAATCTTTTCTCCGTTTATGATGATGTTGCTTATTGGTCCCATTGTGAGGATTTTTGTTTTCTTTATGTTGAGGTGTAATCCATACTGAAGGCTGTGGTCTTTGATCTTCATCAGTAAGTACTTCAAGTCCTCTTCACTTCAGCAAGCAAGGTTGTGTCATCTGCATAACGCAGGTTGTTAATGAGTCTTCCTCCAATCCTGATGCCACGTCCTTCTTCATATAGTCCAGCTTCTCGGATTATTTGCTCAGCATACAGATTGAATAAGTATGGTGAACGGATACAACCCTGCTGCACACCTTTCCTGACTTTAAACCCTGCAGTATCATGACATCAGCGAAACATATGTTAAGAAATGCTAGAGATTATTATAAAGATAAGTGTCTTTTTAAAACATGACTGAGGTTTCTTAGGAACATTTAAATTCAGTAGAGATGGGGTGGACTGAAAGAGCAGTGGTACAGTCACCAAAAAAAGAGAGAAATGAAAAACTTTGAAAGCTTTCATCTTTATTATCTGAGTAATACCTGTGTAAATAGGATTAGTTTATTATGGTTGCTGTGGAAATTAAGAGCTGAAGCGAGCTATCCCATGATGAGAGTTAATGATTGATTTGTATTAGTCCTAATTCACAAAAGTACATTTGAGGTGTCTGCTTTGAATGTTTCTGTTGTACTCTTAAAAATGGGCCATCTTGAAGCAATGACGGCAGCAGAATCACCCTTATGCTTGCACTTTTCACAGGAAAGTGAGCCTTTTGAACCCTCATACATAGTGGGGCATGTGGCCTCAGCACCCAAAGAACAAAACCTGACTACTTTATTCAATGACGGGGAGAACAGTCAGGTATGCTTTCCGTGGTACCCAGGCCGAGACGCCTAACCCCCAGGCGCCTTCATCACTCACGACGCGTCTGAATTGGAGCTGGTCGGGAAAGAGTCCCCTTGGTCCTGGAAACCACTTTCTGAAGCCTCCCTGTCGCCTCCCGGCTCTGTGACTTTAATTTCCTTTGTTCCCTGTGTCTTTTCCTTTTTCTAGTCTTTTTGGGGATCACGGGGGCGGGGGGAGGAACTATGGCTCTTCTGATCATTATAATGTTTCGTATTTTATTTCAAATCAAAGGGTCTTAAAAATGATTTTGTTCGGAATATTTTGTGGACGTTTGAAGATATACATATGCTGGTCGGCTCCAACATGCCTATATTTGGAGGAGGCAGATATCCAGCGGTCAGTTTACGTCTCAGGTAACCCAAAATTATACCCTTCCTTGATTTTAAATTGTTTAAGTTCTTCCTTCAGAGTCAGTGCTCCATCTGCCTTCATTTAGCTAGTTAGGCACCTCCTCTTTTTCTAGGTTTTTTCCCCTCCCCCCCGACTGAAATGGCCACAGGAAGGAGGGCGGTATTTATCAGCAAACGCTGAAAGCTCTATAGCTCCGTCTTTCTTCTAGTTCTTAATTAAATGGACTGGCCTGTTCTTACGTCTGAATCTACAGCTGTGAGAACACAGCAGAATGCATTTAATCACTTCAGAGAGTGGTTTACCGGTTTCCTGTTAACTCCCTGTGAGCGTTTTCCTTAGTGCTCCAGCTTGCCCATAGCAGCCAGTGCGATTGTGACCCAGGCGTTGTCACGTGGGCTGGTCAGTCTCGCACCTCAGCTTGTGCGAGGAGCGTGGAGCGTCCTCACAGCCATCTGCCGCATGATTCCCTCTCATTGACTGAATCCTTATGGGTAGCCAGCCAGAAACGGCGAACAGCTTCCGGAAGTATGTGAAACTCTAACACACCCACTGAGCCCCGTGTGCGTACCTGGCATTTTCCATCTAGGGAGAACAGATTAAAACATCTAAATGGGGGAACGTCTCAGATGATCTGTGATGGAACATCCTTGTTAAACCAAATAACAGTAGAAATGTATATTTTCAGGGATAACAACAAACCAATTAATGTGCTAACTGGAATTGACTATTGGTTGGACAACTTGATATGCAATGTACCAGAGCTTGTGATGTGCTTTCATGTCAATGGAATTGTGCAGGTAAGATACAGCGTCACTCTTGTCTGATGACCTTTCCAGCGCACAGTGGCGCACGGGGCACCTCACCAAGGCTTTTAAGGCCCCTCAGGACTAAGGTGTATTTTAGACAGGGAGGAGAGCTGCGAGTAAACTGAAATGTGAATGTGTTCGCTCTTAAGTTGATGTCAGAATTCCAGATGTTACGAGAGCATACCCTCATAGGTAATTTGGGGGAAGGTCATAAATATACTGAAACCTACATTAGTAGCTGTAGAATACCCATTTTTAATGTCAGACACCTACAGTAATTACCTGAAAATGTATTTCTTCAGTATACAAATATCTACTGAGTTTATTCAGAGTTCTGGTGGGGAAAAACACCACTGAAAAAATTGCACACAGTAGATAGCTAATTTCGCAAATTACTTATGGAGCACGTACTGTTTATAAGGCACTTTGTCCTCATCCTAAATGCTGGAGGAAAACAAAGACTGAGATTTCGTTGTTACTCAGCTGTGACCTATTAGAAAGTCAGAAGAGGACGGCAGGAGAAGAGACGTAAGTATCAGAAGCATAGTGTGCACTCCGAAGTCTGGATGTCAGAGGCGTTGAGATCGCTTGTTTTGGTGTGAAATAAAGGCATCATGGGAGAAGTGACATTTTTAACTGGGTCTTGAATAATCACATCTAAAAAAAATAAAGAGGTGTATTTTAAAAGGCCATTGTAAGTAAGTGAATGGAGAATGGTGATGAATCCAATTTGTGAAACATAGGATTCATGTAACAGAAGAGCTGGAAATAAGGTTGGAAGAATCATGGCCAAATAATGGAAAATCTTGAATGTGAGACTCAGGACTTTGGCCTTGGTGTTGTTGTTGGTGATCTGCTATCAGAGAAGGCTTTGCACCTGGGAGGTAAAATGCATTGTGTTGGAATATTATTATAGAGCAGACGGGAGATTTGGAGACCAAGACTGGCTAAGCATTGCACCACTGTATTGAGTAGCGTCATATACGTAAACTGCAGAGGAGATACTAACAGTCAGCCGTGGTAATAACCGCTGGCACTTACTGAGTGCCTGTTTTGTTTCAGACTCTTCACTAAGCAAGTGCATTACTGATTGGATCTTAGCTACCTGTGTGCTGTTATCTCCTTTTGTTAGAGAGGAAGACTGAGGGGGAGGGAGCCCAAGTGAGTTGTGCTCGGGACTGATCGTGGCAGTGTTTCAGCTGGTCTGAGGCCATTGTCCTCCAGCCCAGTGATTCTTAACCTGCGATGTGCATCAGAGTCACACGTGGCCTCTTAGAAAACACACCTGCTTGGGCCCTCAGTCCTCTGGGAGAGGTGGGATCTCTTTGGAGAGCTTTGTGGGTGATGCTGATTTGGGCCTTGATTGAGAGCCACTGTTACACCATCAGGAGCCCTGGTGGTGCTGTGATTAAGTGCTCCACTGCTAACGAAAAGGTCGGCAGTTCGAATCCACCAGCTGCTCCTTGGAAACCCTATGGGGCAGTTCTGTTTTGTTGTATAGGGTTGCTATGAGTCGGGATCGACCCAGCAGCAGTGGGTTTGGTTATACCATCACCCTAAAAGTGGCAACGTTTAGTAAAAGGCCATTTAGTGGTGGGGTGTGAGGTATTGGTGGGGGCAGGGGGTGAGGAAGAGTCAGAGGGGACCCCAGCTGTTCAGAGGCTCGGCTGAGACGGGGCCTTGAACTGGGTCAGGCAGGGAGGGTGGCAGGTGTTTTTCACCATGTGTTCAGTGTGAGAAAAGCATAAAGATGCCCAGTGAGCTTTTTGAAATTTCAGCCTTTGAGAGGATGGGGCTCAAGACATGAGCGGAGGCACCATCTGCCTGGCTCCTGTTAGATTTCGTCACCAGAGGAGTCCACTAGTATCAGACACTGGATCTTTCTTCACACGGGTGGGGGCGGGGGGGAGGACTTTCCCCACACGGGGGGCAAGGGACGGGCCTTTCCCCTGCACGGGTGGGGAGGGACAGGCCTTTCCCCCATGGGTGGGGAGGGAGAGGACTTTCCTCTGCACGGGCTGGGAGGGACGGGCCGTTCCCCCATGAGTGGGGAGGGAGAGGAGGTTCCCCTGTACAGGTGCGGGGGGACAGGCCTTTCCCCCATGCGTGAGGAGGGAGAGGACTTTCCTCTGCACGGGTGGGGAGGGACAGGCCTTTCCCCTGTGGGTGGGGAGGGAGAGGACTTTCTTCTGCACGGGTGGGGAGGGACAGGCCTTTCCCCCATGCGTGAGGAGGGAGAGGACTTTCCTCTGCACGGGTGGGAAGGAATGGGCCTTTCCCCCATGGGTGGGGAGGGAGAGGAGGTTCCCCTGCACGGGTGGGAAGGAATGGGCCTTTCCCCCATGGGTGGGGAGGGGGAGGATTTTCCCCTGCACAGGTGGGGAGGGACGGGCCTTTCCCCCATGGGTGGGGAGGGAGGGGCTTTCAGAGCAGGGGGAGAGCCAGAACGGTACAGTGTGGAATCCAGGAGGGCAGTGCTCTAAGGAAGGAGATGATCAGCAGCGTTTTCCTATTTGGTTGCTTTTTAATAAGAGAAGTGTCGCTGCCTAGGATTTCTCTTAAACTGCCTGCCATCTGTGTTTTACAGAAGTATGAAATGATAAAGACAGAGGAGATTCCCAATTTGGAAAATTCTAATTTTTCTACTAAAGTCATAAAGGATATTGCACAGAATATTTTATCGTTTCTTAAATCTAATTGTACCAAAGAAGGACATACCTATTGGCTATTTAAAGGTAAGTGGCTTCTTGAATGAACTAAATAATTCATTTGGGTGATCACTGTGAAATGAGGTTTGTTTTTCTTCCCAGCAAGTGGCAGCGATATAGTGAAGCTGTATGATCTCACAACTCTCTGTGAAGAGACCGAGGACAAATACCGAAACCCGTTCACAATGCCAGTGGCCGTCCTCTTATATAAGTGAGTACTCTAGGATTGAAGATGGAAAAGGAGTTAGCCTTACCTCTTGTATAAGTGCATGCTTTAAGAACTGATGATGAAAAAGGAGTTAGCCTTATCAGTTACAGTTTTAGAGCATTCAGCCATACCATCTAAGCCCAGACTTTTCAATACTTTTTAGGTTTGCATAGTTTAAAATATATATGTATGTATTTTTTAACTGTACCAAATGTACTCAGCTTTCCAGTGAAAACTGTAAATCTGTGGCGGTAAAGTACAGCAGTCAGTTATTTCTAATAGCCCAGATTCCCTTGGAAGTGAGAGCTTCCCTAGACTTGAGTCTTGTAGAGAACGATGAATGGGGAGTAAAGCTGATATAAACATTTCTTTTAGGGTTGCTTGCAACATGATGATGAAGAAGAATCAGAATAAGAAGCACTATGGGACTATTAGGACATTGCTCCTTAATTGTGTTAAGTTGTTGGACAAAGGCAGGCATCCTCAAGTAAGGTTAACATTATCTGTTCACTAAAAGCCGTTCTAGCATTGCTGCCTAGACAGTAAATGAATATTTCTGTTCATGTTGTGTAACTGCTACGTCTGCTGTGGTGGCTGTCCGCCTCTTGGAATATGCCTAATCTGAGCTGAGATATGCTATAGTGTAAAATCTCATGAATTTTGAAGTGTGTGTGTATACACAGTGCCTGTTGAAATGAGCATGTATATATTGGATTAAATATGTTCTTAAAATTCATTTCACCAGATACCTTTTTTAACACGGCTACCAGAAACTTCAAATTCCACGTTTGGCTCGCACTGCATTTCGTTGGATCGTGCAGCTCTATCGGTTCACAACTCACGTGATTCTAACATTGTGCTAGTTTTCTTTCACCACTGGAAGGCGGGAAACTTTTTAAGTATTTCTTAAAAGATCCACTTACACTAATTGGCCTTGTTTGTCACTTTGTTAGTATACATGATTCACGTTACATACTTCAGTATACAAAAGCGTCTCTTAAAATAATCTGTCATGCTTCCCACAGTTTTATGCTACTCTTACCCTCAATTATCTGAACTTGACAACTGTATTTTTCTGTATAAAGCTAGTTGTTCTACGCTATTTAAATTAGTAATATACACACTTTTTTTTTTTTAAAGATCCAAGTTGACTTTAATTGTTATCACATCCAGTTTGGGGGATATAGCTTATCCTAGAGACCAAATCCAGAGAAAAATTTTTGAAGAAAAGTGGCAAAACAATTTGTGACTTAAATATCTGCTGACCCAGGTAGTGGTGTTTAATGGAACTTGCATGGTTTACATGAAGGTTAGAGAATGGGGTTAAGACTGTTGAGTGTCTTTGATTATGAGTTGCTTAACAACAAATAATAGAGTAGATAAGTGGTAATCTGCTAAATTTAAGAGCTATCAGGATGGACTCTTCCTTCATTAGCTAGGGTTTTTCCTCTCCCAGAACCACAGATTGCGTAGTAAATATTAGTTGCGATTAAATGATAAGGAGCCCTGGTAGTGCAGTGGTTAAGTGCTCGACTGCTAACCGAAAGGTCAGTGGTTTGAACTCATCAGCCACTCTGTAGGAGAAAGATCTGACAGTCCACCCCCATAAAGATTACAGCCTAAGAAACCCTGTGGGGCAGTTCTACTCTGTCCTCTAGGGTCACCATGAGTCCGAATCAATTCGACAGCAGCAGGTTTTGTTAACAATAAACTCACATTAGCTCATAGGTTGTAAGGAGAAAATTGGCTTTTTCATTTGGTATGGCATGGTATCTTGCTAGTATTTTAGCTGTGTCATGCCATGCTTAAAGCTTTTGTCTGTCTCCACTGAGATAGAGTTGCCACCTTTGAGAGGGTTGGCTGGGGATGGAATAATTACAGGAAGTCAGAAGCAGCTCACCCCAGGAGGATTTTACAGAGCACACCCAGAGTGTTGGTAACTTGGAATGGGGAACCTCCTGTATGCTGCTGTTCATCCATTCTCCACTGGGAGAGCAGCCTGGTGGCAGGCCTCCTGCCCAGATTCGTCAGCGTGATAGTGCAATTTCTGCCTCTAAAGTGCTCAATGTGGATGACAGTCACACATGTTTTTTTTTCCGCTTTTTTATTTTCTTCTTATAAGATTATTGCTTCAGCCAATTACATGCTTTCAGAACTTTTTCAATTGGATGAACCTAAAAAAGAAGAAAGTTCAGAATCTCCTTTAAATGAGAACTCTGACGAAAGTTACAGCGAAGAGGAGGAGGAGGAGATGGTGGACAGCGATGAAAATGGGCCCTATAGCGCTGGAGCTGATCCATCAGAGGACAGCAAGGCGGTGGCTATAATCCAGTCTGTCGGAGAATTGTCAGTGCCTGAAAAATACAAATCCATCCATCAAATCAGAGTAAGCATCTTAGAATTTATGTTAAAATGTTGTCAGTGGAAAAACCATTGTTCATTATAGTTCATTAGGCTATCAGCCAGGTTCTCAATAGATGGCGTGACTCCAGTAAATTCATTGTCCTGGGTCGAATAAAGCCTTAGCTTTATGAATTCTAGAACTTGGGTTTATAATTGTCTCAGGGTAACTGACCCACGCATTATGCAAACTTACGGTGGACTGATAGGTAAAGCAGACATCAACGGAGTCATTGATACATGGGGGATTTTCCCTTCCAGCAGGTCATGTCGGCTCACCAGGCACATCTGTCCAGCTTTAGATTGCTGGGGAACTGGATAGACTTGCGTGACGGATGCAGAGTCAGAGTAGGAAAGGGTGTCTCTCTGGTCCATGTGTAGAGGGCTGGTGCGTTACCCCTGTGCTAGAGAGAGTGCATTTTCAGTACCCCTGGTCGTGGCAGCCAGATTGGACCTGCCCTGCCCTGGTCGGGCCGGAGAGCCCGCAGCAGCTCCCCACCCTTCAGGTTTCTCTTGGCGTAGGTTGTCCTGACTGTCCTCCTGCCGTCCATCTTTTTACAGACAATATGATGTTTCGGTTTTCTGAATTATCACTACTTTCCAGTTCTGCCTCCTTGTGGTTAGATCCAGGTCAGCTATAAAAGAGCTCTGACTGTTCCCTGAACTGAAACACGGTTATGTTTCCAGATCGTCTCTTGGTTTAAGCTCTGAGTTTAACTTCCGACAGAAACTTATATTGAAGGAAGCTTTTGAGCGGGCCTCTCTGTCACCCTAGTACATTGCCTGTCTTTCTGACTTCCTTTCTTTCCTTCATTTCCCCGCTCATATACCTTAGCCGCGCTGGCTTTTTTGTCTCTCAAGTGCATCGAGAGCATCCCCATCTGAAGGCCTTTGCATTTGCTCTTGTTTCTGCTGAAACATCTCTTTCCCGGACTTTGCGTGGCTGCCATTTTCTCAGCCTTAAGTCCTGGCTGAACTTCACCTCCTCAAGGAGACCTTCCGTGGCCTCTCTACCCCCGGGGTGTGCTGTCTTCATGCCACCTCCCCCGTCGCCCGATTTTCCTCTCCTTCATGGAGCTCAGCTGTGTCTGAAGTCCCTGTTTGTACGTGTGTGTGTCTGTCTCCCTTCACTAAAATAGCAGCTCCCTGAGGGTACGGACAGCTTTGTATCTCCCAGGTCTAGATAATGGCTCTCAGTGAACATGTCACTAAATGGCGACAGGAGAAAGTCATCGACTGTCCATTTCAATTTTAGTTCACTTTCAGCTCGCATCTCACAAGGGAGTAAAAACAACGTTTCTGATTATAAACAAAATGGATGACGAAAGTCACGTGTATTTGGGAAACTGCATTATATCCCAGGACCCTGGCCTTGTAGTGCTTGGATGACGAAAGTCACGTGTATTTGGG